CGCTGGGAACGGGGAGTGGGAGCCAAAATCCCGCTGGGAACGGGGGCCAAAATCCCATGGGGAACGGGGAGTGGGAGCCAAAATCCCGCTGGGAATGGGAGCCAAAATCCCGCTGGGAACGGGGGCCAAATCCCACTGGGAGTGGGAGCCAAAATCCCGTTGGGAGTGGGAGCCAAAATCCCACTGGGAGTGGGGGCCAAAATCCCGCTGGGAATGGGGGCCAAAATCCCACTGGGAGCGGGGAGTGGGAGCCAAAATCCCGCTGGGAATGGGGGCCAAAATCCCACTGGGAGCGGGGAGTGGGAGCCAAAATCCCGCTGGGAATGGGGGCCAAAATCCCGCTGGGAATGGGGAGTGGGAGCCAAAATCCCGCTGGGAGCGGGAGTGGGAGCCAAAATCCCACTGGGAACGGGGGCCAAAATCCCATGGGGAACGGGGAGTGGGAGCCAAAATCCCACTGGGAATGGGAGCCAAAATCCCACTGGGAGTGGGGGCCAAAATCCCGCTGGGAGTGGGGCACAAATCCCACTGGGAATGGGGGCCAAATCCCGCTGGGAATGGGGGCCAAATCCCGCTGGGAATGGGGGCCAAATCCCGCTGGGAGTGGGAACCAAAATCCCGCTGGGAGTGGGAGCCAAAATCCCGCTGGGAATGGGGGCCAAAATCCCACTGGGAGCGGGGAATGGGAGCCAAAATCCCGCTGGGAGTGGGAGCCAAAATCCTGCTGGGAACGGGGAGTAGGAGCCAAAATCCCACTGGGAACGGGGAGTAGGAGCCAAAATCCCGCTGGGAGCGGGAGTGGGGGCCAAAATCCCACTGGGAGCAGGGAGTGAGGCACAAATCCCGTGGGGAGTGAGGCACAAATCCCACTGGGAGTGGGAACCCCAAATCCCACTGGGATCAGGGAGTGGGGACCCCAAATCCCACTGGGATCAGGGAGTGGGAACCCCAAACCCCACTGGGATCAGGGAGTGGGGACCCCAAACCCCTTTGGGATCAGGGAGTGGGAACCCCAAACCCCTTTGGGATCAGGGAGTGGGAACCCCAAACCCCATTGGGATCAGGGAATTGGGGACCCCAAACCCCATTGGGATCAGGGAATTGGGAACCCCAAACCCCATTGGGATCAGGGAATTGGGGACCCCAAACCCCACTGGGATCAGGGAATTGGGGACCCCAAACCCCACTGGGATCAGGGAGTGGGGACCCCAAACCCCACTGGGATCAGGGAGTGGGAACCCCAAACCCCACTGGGATCAGGGAGTGGGAACCCCAAATCCCATTGGGATCAGGGAGTGGGAACCCCAAACCCCATTGAGATCAGNACCCCAAACCCCACTGGGATCAGGGAGTGGGAACCCCAAATCCCATTGGGATCAGGGAGTGGGAACCCCAAACCCCATTGAGATCAGGGAGTGGGGACCCCAAACCCCACTGGAATCAGGGAGTGGGAACCCCAAACCCCTCTGGGATCAGGGAATTGGGGACCCCAAACCCCACTGGGATCAGGGAGTGGGGACCCCAAACCCCACTGGAATCAGGGAGTGGGGACCCCAAACCCCACTGGAATCAGGGAGTGGGGACCCCAAACCCCATTGGGATCAGGGAATTGGGGACCCAAACCCCAGTGGGACCCTGATGTTTCCTGGCTGCTTCCAGCAGGTCCCATGGGACCCCGAGGGGACACTGGGTGACCCTGGGGTGGCCGGGGCTGGGCAGGGGTCGCTGGGGGGCTGTCCCCAGCCTGTCCCGGGTGTCCCCGCGCTGTCCCCTCTGTCCCCACGGTGCCGTGTCCCCAGGTACCTGCGGCAGATCTCGGAGCTGACCTTCTCGGAGCCGGCGCAGCTGCAGCAGCTGGAGCAGCTCCGGGGTTACAACCTGGAGCAGGAGATGAGGAGCCTCAGGTCACTGCCACCCCCTCCGTGTCCCTTACTGTCCCCTGGTGTCCCCACCCGGCCCCGCGGGACCCCCAGGGCAGCCATCCTGCGGCTCCGGGCTGTCCGTGGTTCTGTCCTCCCCTCTGTCCCTCCTGTCCCCGCCTTGACCTCGCATCCCCGGTGTCCCCCGTGTCCCCTGTGTGTCCCCCGTGTCCTCAGGGTGTCCCTGGTGTCTCCCCTGTGTCCCCTGCATCCGTGTCACCTCCACATCCCGGTGTCACCCATGCCTTTGGTTCTGGGTGTCCCCTGAGTCCCATATCCCTGCATCCCCCGTGTCCCTGTGTCCCCCATATCCCTGGGGTGTCCCCCATGTCCCCGTGTCCCCATTTCCTTGGATCCCTGTGTCCCCAGTGTCCCTGTACCCCTGGCATCCCCGTGTCCCCATTTCCCTGGATCTCTGTGTCCCCAGTGTCCCTGTACCCTGGTGTCCCCTGTGTCCCCAGTTCCCTGCATCCCCCTGTCCCCATTTCCCTGGATCTCTATGTCCTCAGTGTCCCTGTACCCTGGTGTCCCCTGTGTCCCCATATCCTGGGATCCCCCCTGTCCCCAGGGCTGGCCCCTGTCCCCCTGTCCCCCTGTCCCTCTGTCCCTGTCCCCCTGTCCCCGTCCCTGTCCCCCT